TTGTCAAGATAAAATTTGATGAGACGTACGTCATCGTATGTCATCTCATTCCCGCGAAAAACGAGCGAAAAGCACGTATGTGGATGCGGAAGCTGAGCCAACTTTCACATTCGTGAAAGAGGTTAATGCATATGGTATACGCTTCTCAAAGGTTTTTTTTTCTCACTATATCCGATAGTTGCAGTACGTGACGTATACGTATACGCAATAGACAAGACAGAGAGATCGAGAGGGATTGAACGACGATGCCGATCTCGACGATAAAGTTCGAAGAGTCGCGAGAGGCAGACGCAACGCAACTATCATCAATCAGTCGCGTAAATACCGGCTTAACCTAAACGAAACATCCTTATTGTCGCTCCATCGAACTCGACTGCCCATTTCCTCATTTCCTCGCATCGACAACGCGACAATCAACGGCACAATCAAGATGCTTTACCTTTTCCGTTGTAGCATTTTCCCTCTCCATCATACTTCTCGTACGAAAAATTGCTCTCTAAACCTAAACACTTATGTCCCTTTGTTAAAACGTGCAAGATCAAACAGGAAGGCGCTGCTGTCGTTATGTTCCTTCACTTCTCTTGTCGTCAAGCGACCAATTCTCTTCTTTATAAATCTCCGTTTGTCCTTAGTTATATTTTCCGATACTCTTTTCTTACACTAAAATAAAATAAAAAATATATTTCACCATTTCGAGGAGGAGTGAAAGGGAAAAACGGGACAGGAAATAAGATGCTGGAGATACCGTGGATGTCGCTGCATGCGCATGGTCGAAAGCACAATCGATTTTTCAAATGAGAATCGCGCGAAAACATCGATTGCGAGAGAATGATTCAGCAACTCTGAAATATTCTGATCTGCGGTTACGGACATTGCTACGTATACCAAAACAGTCCATCATATTGACCGTATTGATCTTTGATCAGTTCATATATGTACATATCTCGACAAAACGATCATCATGTAACAGTGTGAAACAACGATATTAGTAAATTTTTGACGAGATTATTGACAAGATAATTTGTGCAACAGGCTATCTTAACATTCTTAACAATGGAGCCTTTGTGATTTGTGACAATCAGTCTTGCTATTTGATAACGCAGCTATCTCTCTAGATTCAAATATTCAAAAAACAAACTCAAAGTATTAGGTGTATAACTAAGTTCTCACCATTAAATATCAAAAATCTTTTATTAACGCAAAAGGAACAATGCAATTGTTTTAATCAAAATATTTTCTGTTTGCATCTACCACCTTTTGTCATCTTTTAGGTGGTATACGAATGCCTTGGTAAAAGAATATCTCGTCTCTTGACATAATGAAGTCATCGACCCATTTTTTAAACATGTGTTTCATTTTGATAGTACATTTTGGAGACGCTGTGCTGCATCGATTGGAATAAGAAATAATCACACGGCGCAATGTCTAGAGAGTACACTGGGTGGGGAAAGATTTCCCATTCACAACATCATACAGTGCTTGTTTGACTTTACAAACTACATCTTGCATTATCATGGAACAAATTAACTTTGCATCATTTTGAAGCAACTGCCGGTCGCCTCTTTCGAATTGGTTGATTCAAACAATTTTTGAATCAATTTTTTGAACATTTGAGTTCAAGCAATTGAAGAGAAACGAATGACAGTTACCTTGAAACGACATCGTTTTGCTCCACAACAATGGGAGGGCTCGTAAAGTCAAACACTGTATCATCTTAAATGGAAAATTCTTTCCCATCCAGCATACTCTTCAAACATGGCACGATCTGATTATCACTTATTCTGATTGATACAGCGCACCGTCTCCAAAACACACTTACTTAAAATAAAGCAGATGTCAAGAAATGATTCGACGACTTCATCGCATCAAAAGATAAGACATTCTTTTGCCACGGTATTCGTATGCTGCCTGGAAAATGGCAAAAGATGATAAATGCAAACGGCAAATATTTTAATTAAAATCATTGTATTATTTCTTTTGTATTAATAAAAGAATTTTGATAATTAACAGCGGGAACTTAGTTATACACCTAATATATACATATCTGGGTATACCTATCATATCTTGAAATTACAATACAAAATTTAAATTATATTTCACTATCTCAACATGTCCATTTTAACATATTTTAATTAAATCTATATAAGGCTCTTTTTTACAAGATGAATAATTGATTTCTTGTATAGGGCGAATAAGTAAAGAAATAAATGAATAATTCTTTTACCTTTTTTATATTTGATATTTTTTTTCGGTGTTATGACATTTTTCTTCACTTCCTTGATTATTTATGCGCGTGCATACGCGCGAAAAATAATTTCAAAGACGCGGGATTAGATCTCAAGCAAATTGATTATTTCATATTTATCATCTTTTTAAACAATTCCTACAATTAATAAAAGCGATCCTATACAAACGTATTGATAAATGAGCACTTTTTGTTCACGACACTTGCCATGCCATTCACGTTAATTACGAGAAAAATACAGTTAATCGACAGTATTTAATGAGAGTAACTAATTATTAATGGTTATAATAATTGCGATAGATTTTTTCTTGTATAAATACATATTAAATAGGGCTAGGTGAGTTTCTTGGCTTTCTGGTAAAGTGTATCGACGACTTTTCCCATGCTGTGTATCGTGTCTAATGCAATTTCGTAGGTCTTATCGCGTGGTGCATCTTCGAAAACGATTAAAACACCTTCTCCTTGGTCGAGAACCCCTCGTAGCTTCTTGTCCAAAATCATCTGCGACAGTTTCTTTTCTACTTGTGCCAGTGGCAGAGATATGCACGAAGCAATATGACTCACCTTCAAAAAAAAAATTGTAGAGAGCAATATGTAAGAGAGCAAGAAGAATTATTTTACTAAATATTATTCTTAAATTTATTTTTTCAAGTCACTTAATAAATCAATATGAATATTTGATTTCTTCTCTCAGATTTAATTTTGTCATTATTTCCTACGATTAGCACGTTAAAACTTTGGCAATCGAAATAAATTACGTTTTAAAAAGCCAAGTTCTGTTATGGTGTGGATTGTTTAATTAATAAGTTTGCATGTATATATAATGTGTATTTTTTTTATACATACATATTTATACATACACATTTATCTATTTTTATCGAGAAGAACTCAATTGATAAATAATTTATAGTGACAAAAAAAGAAATTTAAGAGTTCCGACATAATCGTATAGTTACCTGGACTCGTGAGTAAGGTTCGACTAAACGACATAAATTTTGCTCCAGCATAGCGTCATAGAGAGAACCAAGATGTGCGCGTACAATTACATCGTCTTCCAATTCCTGTCGGTATTGCTTAACCGCCTTCTGAAAATCCGCTAACGATCGCCGATGACTGGCTTCGGCTACTGCCCGCATCGCATCTAGATCCAATCCCGCATATTTCACGGCCAGTTTGCCGGACATGATAGCCTGAACATCTTCTGGCGTACGCAACATAATTTTAGACAATAACATGTATTTGAGCGCCGTTAACGCCTTGGGGCTTTCAACACTGTCATACCTAAAAATAAAAATACAAAGATAGTATATGTATCGTATAATAGGCAAAAACGGACTATATTTAAAATACTGATTGCAATACCCTTCGAAAGCTTCGTAAAAGTAAGAGTAAGCAGTCTTAAAGTCTCGTTCGTCCGCAGCGTGTAATATTCCTGATTGAAGATCCAGAGCTGCTTGCATCTTGGGTGGACAGTAAATCGCATTGGCAGTTGTCCTTGCGCTGGTAAGCGCTGCTCTTGCTTTTGCTAAATTACTCAATGCATGATATGTCTTGCTCTCTAATAATTGAACTTCTACTAATAGTTGTTTATCATCAAGTTTTTTGAGTTCTTTGAGGAGAGCAGATCCCAATTTCAATGCTTCACTGAACATGCCCGTGTCAAAATAAAGGGCTATTAAGCGTGCTTCCAATGATTGCCTTAAAAACGTTCTGCGTTCCTCCTTTGCCCATTCTATGCATTCGTTACACAATTGCACCTAAATACATAATGCATATAAGTATATATTCCATATTTTGTTTTTTATAAAAGTTTATCTTTTTTAAATAGATTGAAGCTTAGATCTATCATATATGCACTTATATATTCTGCATGTATATGTGTGTACGCGCGTGCGTACATTGTCTTATTTTTAAAATAAGATTAGAGTTTTTAACTAATGCTAAACAAGAGTTGTAGCTTTTGTTAAAATAAGCTAAAAAGAATATTACCTTGTGAATTATTTTTTCCTTCATTTGTAACGGAGACAAATGAAGAATGTATATCAAAACTATACACCGTATAAATTTAGATGTGAATTGTTTATAGACTTTTACTTCATGTTGTCATTATTAAGCTCCATATATTTGTTTCAATAAAGAGTATGTTACACTAACAATGAGTATTTTGACAAGCAAATTGACATTTTTCATTGGTCGAAGCAGAACTGCCATAGTGTAACCTAATCCTATGAAATACTCATCGATAGATGAAATGTGTTACCTCGATACCGATACCAGCCTCCAAATCCAGGAAGAAGTCAACTAAGGACCGCACGAGCTTGGCGGCCTTTGCTTTACTAATAAGACTGAGGAACGGTCTGGTGGCTTTGATCAAATCGGCCAATTCTTTCGCCTTGCCCTCTTTCTTATAGAGCTCACCCAGGTGCAAAATACCCTGCTCCTTGACACGAATGTTGTCCTCGTCATCTTCGGCAACGCCGATACTTGGGTCTGAGACGATCTCGTTCAGCAATGAGATACCCTCGCTGCGGTTTGTCACCGAAACAGCCTGAGCCCGCTCGAATAACATCGCACCGGCCATCTCGAGCGATTAGTGCCGCTTCCTCGCGTAAAAACGTTAATCTCCTCCAACGACACAAGTTACCTTACACTTGTACTCGCTGGCGCGGCTGCACAGTGCACTGCAAGGCCTGCAGGGGAAAAGAAGTACGTCGCAACGCGGACCTCGAGGAAAACGTAACGTGCGAAGATCTGTCCCGTCCCGTCGTGTGTACAATTTGTACGTATGTATGTATGTATGTATGTATATACGTACAGTGTGTAGTGTAGTCCGTAGTGTAGTGTAATGATCTACACTGCGCGCGGTTTGTACGTACGTATGTACACTGTATACACTCACTTGCGCTTGCTTGCGCCTTGCGCCCACCCTCCGCTCGCACTTTCCAACTTGTCACTCCTCACCGCGCTCGCTAGCACTCACCAGATCCTCGACGCACCGCAAAACTCGTGTCATGCTGCTACGTGAGTCAAACTAGAGTCCTAGATATCAGAGAGCCGCAACCGGCTTAAGTCAGTATCGCAAAGTTACTAACAAGAGTATTAAAAATGGCCGACATGCAATGAAACTGCCTTTAAACTGTCATCACCATAACCTCTTAATTTGCACTGCTATTAACGGAGTAAAACTTTACTCGAAAGGTTTTTTCGAAAGATTCTCGATAAAATTATTCCTGAAATTAAAAAAATATTATTGCATCTCTAGCGACAATTTTTCTCATAATTTTTGTATGAATTAGAACATTTTTCAGAAATATTCAGAAAGTTTATATCTTCTCTCAGAACTGTTTATACAAGTGAATTCTGAAATTTCTCATTCCATAATTAAAAAAAAATGTTCTTGTTTTAGATTTTATAACATTTCATCAGAAATTATACAAAAAATCTTAGAAATCTTATATATTTCATAAGTAATATATATGAAAAATTCTGAGATAAGATGTAGATTTTCTGAGAAGTGTTCCAATTCGTATGAAAAATGTAAGAAAGTTATAAAATTATATGGAAATTCTGAAAAATTATATAGAATTTCTGCAAAATTATGTGAAAAATTCTGAGAAAAATTTTCATCAGAGATTACTCAAATAAATAATTCTGTATGATACGTAGAAGAATTTCATATGGTTTAATCTATGGAGTATTCCAAATGTTTGAAATAAAATAATTTTAAAGTCGTTTGTGATTGCTTGTTTATAAATTAAAACAAAAATGTTTGAAGATAAGGTATTGCATAATTGCAGGTACGATTGCAGTATTATGTTCTCACATCCAAGAAACATTGAAAAAAATGATAATTGTGAAGCATCTACTGTTAACGAACAAGTTCACAATTTAGTCAGCATGGATACTGTTCAAGAACAATTCTGCAGCAACAGTAAAGAGAGTTATAATTACAAAAACATATGTAATATTGATGGAGAAATAAATGGAATCAGCAAAAGTTGCAGTCCAGTCTCAGTTCAAATGGAAGATATTCTTGCTGAAGTGGAAAGAAGTAGGAAACTTATTAAATATTTTAATTTTTTCCATTTACAATTTTTTATCAAACTCGACACACTTCGCCTCTGCTCGAGAGGAGAGTCAGAGTATGTGTGACAAACTGTGTTTGAGTGTTATACTGTGTCGATTTGTGTCTCCTAAAAGGAAAGCAGCCTATGTAAATAATATTTTAAAAGATTAAACAATAATCTTATGTGCCAAAGCACATATATATCATTATATGCAATTAAAATGTTTAAACTTACGCATAAAAAATGGTAACATAAAACTTTCATTTGCCTAGGATAGAACGTGTAAGATAATGTGAGATAGAATTGTAGGATAAAATGAAATAGAAGTATGTCACTAGTATTATAAATGGCTGCCAAGCCACGTGACTGTAACAGCGAATCAGAATGCGGAACACCGGTTGCGCTTCTCTGATATCTAGGACTCTAAGTCAAACCAACTACTCACAACCAGTGTCGCCAACTCTCGAAAAAAAGAAAAGCTAGACGACATTTCAGAAATAGTTAAATAATTGCTAGATTTTAAAAATTAAAGAAAATATAAATTTAAAATACGATTATAATTAGAAATACTTATTTATTTGAGAGAAAAAGTTTTTATAATTGCACATGAGCACAGATATTATTATAAAATAAACAAAGTATATAACATATTATATATTATCGTAATGTGTAACATATAGGAACATATATAATATAATAGAATATAATGTAATCAAAACATCGATTAAATTAAATTAAGTAACATTTGTGAAATACTAATGCCCGTATTCATAGTCAGACCTTGTACTTAAGGCTTCCTTAAATTTATCTTTAGATGCTCAGCCAATGAAATAATTCGTAGAGTATCTGAAGATAAATTTAAGGAAGCCTTAAATATAAGACCCGACTATGAATACGGGCATAAATCGTGTAAATCAAAATTCTCATATTTTGGGGGCTAAGCTTCGTTAGTACTAATTCGTTTTAATACATTTTCTTGAAAATAGGATGGATGAGTGTAGAAAAGTGTAGATTGGCCCGCCATCTCTAGGCTCTCATTGCATATCTTTTTAGATATGTTTGCTACGTTGATTGGAAAATTTGAACATACGACGATTGATATCCAATAAAAAAATCTCAAGAATCAAAATCATAAGAAATAGCTAGCTAACTCTGTATTATCTTCATAGAAATATCCAGAAAAATAGCTAATAGCAAAAGTCAATTTTTGCGAGCTAGATCGAAAAAAAAATAGCTATATCTAGTCAGAAAATAGCTAAGTTGGCAACACTGCTCACAACTACTCCTAGGCTGCGTTCGGAAACATCATCCGAGTGTCCTGTGTATCATTTTATCCTTGTTATTCACCCAGTGTTAAACAAGGACACCCGAGGGCACTCAGGTGGTATTTCCGAACGCAGCTCTAAGGTTTGTTCGCGTCGCAAGCTCCAACATATTCCAACATGCTCCTACTCATTCTAGGCTGCGTTCAGATTCCTCACCCGGGTGCACACAGCCACCCAGAAAGCATTCAGATTCCTTTTAAGTGCCTTTATCGGGCTCCTAGGTGGAACGTTCAGATTCCTACTCTATCCACCCGGAAGGGTGGAAAAACCACCTGGCTCCTTGAGCCGGGTGGAATGAGTGATGGCGTATTAAAGACTTCCTGTGCGATCCCAGCACATTTGGCCCTGCGTACAGATATTAAGATTTCAACCTATCAGAAACCGTGTATTCCGGTGTAACTGGTATCTGGTAGGTTAAAATCTTAATATCTATTCCTGTTCCTAATATTTCCTCTATTGTGCACAGGGCCTTTGATGTGCATCTATATGAAAAATTTAAATTTCAGGTTATGCTTGCTATAAGCAGTATCCCTATAAGCGCAAAATATTCCTAGAATATTATATTTACACTGCTTTCCATTTGATGACACAAATCGACACAAGCGTCGTTCTATCCTTCTTGGACATTCAGAGAGTGACAAAGATAGAACGATACTTGTGTCGACTGTGTCTCTTAAAAGGAAAGCAGCCTTATGGCTTCTGCACACTGGACGCGGAAACGCTTACCACGCGGCAAAATACGACGCGGTAACCAATAAGCTTACAGCTCCCAACATGTTCATTGATTACCGCGTTGCATTTTGCCGCGCGGCAAGCGTTTCCGCGTCCAGTGTGCAGGAGCCATTA